TAGCACAGACTGTGCGAACCAAAGGGGTATTAGCCTAACGCCAGTTGTGACAAAATTCTTGGCCTCGATTATCGTTCATCGCCTCACTGCAGAACGGGAATCTCGGAGTAGGGAAGAGCAGGCCGGTTTTCGCCCAGGACGTGGCTGTATAGACCATATATTTACTTTGCGGCAGGTGCTAGAGCAGCGCCACCCATACCGCAGACCGACAATAGCTGTGTTCCTCGATTTCAAGAGTGCGTTCGATTCAGTCGATCGATCGATTCTGTTCGAATTACTTGCGCGGAAAGGTGTTCCCACGAAATATGTGAACATCCTTCGTGCTCTATACTCGAACACTAGAGACCGGGTCAGGGTACATGGTGCCCTATCGGATAGCTTTTCGACTACAAGTGGCATTCGACAGGGTTGCCCAATTTCCCCGTTTTTGTTCAATTTCATCGTGGATTTTATCATGGAGTGTTCCCTTGCGGAATCTCACGATGTAGGCGTTGAAGTGCTGCCTGGTGAACGGTTAGTTGATCTAGATTATGCGGACGATATCGTCTTACTTTGCGACAATGCTGAGGCGGCACAAACAACCCTGAATAGCCTATCCAGAGTGGTCCCATTATTTGGTATGCACTTCGCACCTTCAAAGTGCAAAGTGTTGCTGCAGGACCACCAGTCACTTGATGACCCCTTGACGCTTGTTAACGAGGAACTCGAGGTGGTTGATCATTTCACTTATCTAGGCAGCTGCATCAGCAATGATGGGCGCATAGAAACTGACGTGAGCTCACGCATTGCAAAGGCCAGAGCTGCCTTCTTGAACCTGCGTCATCTTTGGCGACAGAAGGGAGTTTCCCTCCGTCTGAAAGGCCGTGTATACAAGGCCACAGTGAGGGCCGTTCTGCTGCATGGTATTGAGACTTGGCCCCTTCGGTCTGAAGATCTGAGGCGCCTTCAAGTCTTTGATCATCGTTGTTTGCGAGGCATTGCTGGTGTCGGATGGCACCAGCGTGTCCGCAACGATGATGTGCGTAGGCGAGTACTAGGTGGTGATGATCATGCTAGCTCCCTAGAACAACAGATAGCACTGAATAAATTGCGTTGGCTCGGGCACGTGCTACGCATGCCTGGTCACCGCTTACCTAGAAGGGCCTTGTTCAGTCTACCAGGTGTCGGATGGCGCAAGGCTCGAGGTGGACAGAAGTTGACTTGGCAGCGGGAAATGAAGTCACTGACGACCAAACTGGGTGCCGTTGGTCCGTCTCGCCTTCCGGGTTGGAGTCCACGTGACTCACCTTGTGCTTGGCTCGAGACTTTACAGGACGGCTCGCAGTAGACACCAGTGGCGCGTCTGCTGCCGTCTTCTAATCGGATTGTCTGTTTAAAGTGTGTTTGGTGCTGAGTTATCTGCAGGGTAATGGCTGATTATGACGCGTGGCAGTGAAAGCCGCAAGGAAGCTGTCTCTCTCTCTTATGCCGCCTTATCTTTGCACGATAGCCAGCTGTTTGTGACTATATGTTGTTAACACAAGGTGTAGGCGCCTTGAGCCTGAATGTTTGATTAGGACATTAAGGTTTTCAGGTAAGTCCCCCTTCTCTCCCTCTTCTTATTCTTTATTTCATAGGTCCTCATGGTTGTATGGCAGCGAAGCATCAGTTCAAATGGCTGATGTACTGCTGTTGATGATGATTTCATAGGAATTCCTGCTCTGAGCTACATTTCAACTTCATTCTTTCCCACAACTCAAATTATTGTATTAATGTCCACCGAGTTACCCTCGTGTAGAGCCAGGAGCATATTCTCACCTCTAGCCCTTCCTGTAACTTGATCCCATTCTTTAGCTCTCATATAGACCGAATGGTACAAATGCTTAAGTAGGATGTTAGATGGACTGTAGCACCGAAGCCCGGGAGTGCATCGCAGGTTGGAACTTGTCCTATCCATCATTCTTATATCCTAATTTTTCCGAGCTCACCACGCTAGCGGCATGCACTGGTAATCTCATTCGCGTTGACAGTCTGAGACCACTGGAACCCCTCGTAGTTATCCTTCACTACGCTTTTATCTCCTTTTATATATCGTTTAAGAAATTTGCTTACTTCTCGCATCTCACCAGATGTAAGTCGATCCCAAGACGGCATTGTTACCGCGAAAAACGCGTTCTACTATGCTTTATTTAGTAACCTCATATATTCTACTAATTTAAGTTCTCATTCCCACGCTTATCTATTTATGATCGCAGACTCGTACCAAGTTTCCTCGTAGGTAGCTACCAAGCTACGCGGAATGGTGGGAGCTTGCATAGCCCTAGGATCTCATTGCTGTTATTACACCCCTTATTGTACCTAACTTCCTTCGCTTAAATCCGGCTTGCTTTATTTGCTCGATACTAAGCGAAGTATCTTAACGGGATAGTTAGTGGTCCACTGACAGAAATAGTTTGAGAGCCAAGCTTTTGTGAACTCACTTTCTCCTAACTTGGTCCCATTCCTCTCAGCTTTTATTTGAGTTAAATGCTCGCCAATCGCTATGGGAAACATTGGCTGACGGGCAGAACGAAAAACCAGATCCCGTTTTTTGGCCATTCTTACCTCTTTACCATTTCATATTCTCTTGGTCGGCTTGAAAGCTTGCCATGTCGGAAAGCTGGATATCCAGGACATTTTGATCACCACTTCATCTTATCTTGGCCACCAGCACGAAACTTATCGTTTGCCTAGCTCCGATGCCCAGTATGAGCTGATGAAACTCATGCGCAGTGGTAATTGGATAACCAGATCCTACTTTTCAAGACAGTTTGCTCTTCTTAACTTATAATATTATTCATTCATTATGCCTGGCGCAGTGGAACAGCCAGGGCCAGCAAAACCACAAGTGCGCTTGCGTACGATACATTCAAACTTACGTTAGCCGAACCTCCACTGCTAGCTAATGACCCATCTACATCAGACCTATAAAATAGTAAACGGGAGCCCCGAAAATGGTATATTGGTGGACGCTTAGTATATTCAAATACGAAGAAAACTTATATGCCCACCTAATTCAATCCTAAGGTCGTAGAGCCATGGTCGTCCAGGCCCCGCTAAACGGTCTCAGCGAAATTATCGGTACTACAGGCTGCTTCCTATCTTTCCTTACTTACTTTTTTTGGTCTAAGCCTCGTATCTCAATAGTAAAGCGGAGCGAAGCCTTTTGTTATCTAAAACGTAAAAGCAGTGGTAGCTATTGCAATCTCCACCACATGAGCTCATATTGGGAAAAGGAATATTGAGCTGCCCTGCTGTCTTCATGTGGTCAAGGCTTATGTTGCCCAGCACTATACTCTCGACCATTTGAAGGTATAGAAAAATTAGATTTTTCCTTCATTGCATTTCGCTGTCTCAGTATCCTCAAAAGAATGCTCAAGCGGCTCATCTTATCATGGATTAATTGGAGCGAGTTCACAGATACAGATCCCACATGGATCGTTTAGCATGATCGCGAAGTTACACGCGTTAATTTTTTTCTATTTTCAATTACTTACGCACGAAAACCTAGATTTTTCGGTCTTTCAGGTCGCAACCACCTCCACTACTGTGCTGTGACCCGGCTTATTAGATGCGCCTTGTTATCTAGAATCTATCTATCCGCATTGTTTTTCTTTCTTCTTTTCGTGCTATGCTTGGAAAGCAAGACCGTAATTTCAGCGAAAATTAACGTAGGGCGTTATTCGCAACTTGCAAACTGTTGAGGATATCGCATCCATTTCGCCATTATAAGATAGAGCACCGCCCGTTTGCTGCGTTTGGCTTGTTTGTTTTTACGTTTTTCCCATTTTTCGCCCTAGAAAGCTCTTTAGGCTGGAAGTCCAGTTTGTTCGGTCGCCCTCCAAAGTCACTCACTGGTTTGATGAATGGATGGCATATCTTCTGCATGCATACAGAATTGCTTTATCTAGTTGCATTATATTTCGTTTAACATATAAGATTTTATGTCTAGTCTTACGATTTTTCACATTTTGCTACTGTATTCATTTATTTTATTTTCCCCCGTTTACCCTAATTCTCCTGCTCTAGTTACGCATTTATCAGAAGATTGACCTGGCTGCTTTGGCCATCAGGAGGAAGAAATTGAAACAGCGCTTCTGTAAGCTGGATCGTGGCTGGAAAACGCAAACTCACACAGGAGACAAACTGCAACCTAGCACTCACATTGCGGGCGCTGTCATCTGCCCGTTTGGAATCCCACAGTTACAAAACACCTGACAAATAACACCTGAAAACCTCATGCATGAGCATGACGCTTCTGTACATTTTGATCTGGCCCTCTCGGGTTCAGTCTCTCGCAGACGAGAATATACACTTCTTCTAGTTGAGTGACGTTGAAGCGTCGGTACGGCGCGCCAGCGTACTGCTGCTGCATCATCATCGCAGAATTGCAAGTCCTGCTACTGGAACCTAAGTCTGGTAGGCGCATATTCACTAGGATGCGCCTGGCTTGCACGCGCGTTCCGGAGCCACGACATATGCCGACTGCAAAGGAGTGTGAGATCACGGCAAGTGTTGTCAATTGACTGATCTGACACAGGGCAGAAGCGCTAGGTGCATGCTTGGTTTGAGAGGTAGTTCCGCTTCCCTGTTAGCATGGTTGCTAAAGTCAGGAATAGTCTTTTGCTAGTTAAAACGAGAGGATTCTCGAAACAGAAGGTGAGATGAATGTCAGCGGAGGATTATGAATAAAATGTACTGTTTGGTTGCCCATTCCGAGAGAGGAGTTGTATCCAGGTTTGCCGTCTCTATCTTTTGATTTGACCTACAAGACAATGTACTTGTGGGATAGGAAGAGTGCAGACGTGGGCTTTAGCGGTGATCCGTGTGCACGAAATCATGGAATAACTAATCCGAGACTGGAAAGAGCCACCTTGGTCTTTATTCAGCCTGTCTGTGATGTGTAAACAACACAATCTACCAATGGACAATCAGTCCGATTTATAGTCTATCAATTGGAATCCGTACATTAAAGCGTGGTGAATCCAAAGTTCCCGACCGCAAAAAAATAAAAAAGTACTAGCGGCCGATTGTAGATTTTTTGAACAGGAGTAAACCGCATATACAAGTACTAGGGCACGTCACACGATCAGCACCGCGTTTACGCATCCTTCGTTCTCCGGATTGTTGGTTACTTGAGCGTATTTCCCCCAGACTACTTTCCCACCTGGGGTTACTAAACCGAGATCACTCACATTGACCTGAAATGTAAGAAAGAGAGGGCCGATGGACAGAACTCAAAATCGCGTGATAACAGACTCGTGGAGAAAATGGACGGAAATGAGGAAACGGACGAAAAAGACTTGAGATAATCCGTTGTTATTACTGGGCGTCACAGCTCGATGAGAAGACGCTTCGGTGTCGTGTCTCGGTGCAGAAAAAGTAGAAAGACGCTTTCGAAAAGATGGATAAAGGCTGAAAGCAGGAGAGCAGACGAGAACCAAAGCAAATGACATGCTATCCAAGAGCAAAACATTTCGTACGGATAATAAGAGACCACATGGGCCACGATGTGAGACGTGTGCATCACATTCTCAAACACATGGGTAAATGCGAGAACAAAGTGTTGGTTGTACCGAGCCTTCAATTTTGCAGGCCAGGTCCGGTTGGAACACTGGTGTCCAACTGCATAAGAACCAGGGTGGAGCGTGGGTGTTAGCACGTACACCGGATGTCGTAAGAATCGGGGCTCGATGAATAAGCTCTCGGTGATTATCGACCTATACATGACTTCTGAATAACAGAACAAATGAAATACTCATTGGATGGGAGCCATGCACTCGGTACTCTCACGAGATATGACCGAGAAACACCGGTGGTCAACGACGATCTGTTACTTCATATCGTTATCGGCCGGTGGCCGAGTGGTCTGCGCCTTTGGTTTGCAACCATAACGTCACTGGTTCGAATCCGCGTAGGGGTGAGCGTCCTCGCGGTATCCTCAGCCCACGCGCGACTGGTGGTGGTCGCGCGGCAGCGAAGCGCCGTTATGGCGTACAGCTGACACATTATTATTATTACTTCATATCGTTGAGGCACAGTGGAGGAGTTTCTGATGTATATAGTAACGGTGTACTTGCCACGGCGCTGTACATCGACAGGCTGAGATCCACACTCTCATTGGGACTTCAGAAGACCAAATATAAGGTTGGTGGCATTCGGTTTCGAATTTGCCTGTCACTGGCCTCCACGCGGACAACCACAGGAAGCCTGCGCCTACAGTGGGACCATGGCTTGCGCTGCACCACCCACAGCTCCATGCACACACTCTATATCCAGGGTAAACCCGAAGGAATAAGACCGGGATGCATGTGGATGGGAGCCACGTTTCATCAACGGAGCCGGCCCACACTCATAAACAGGCAAACACAAGCACGCTGTATTTGGGAATCAAGCGCACACAAGGCGGTGGCTGGACCGTAGTCCGCTCCACACTGAGTGCATGGAACCACTCTTCGAGACTAGCACGTCTACAAGGATTGTGCACTTCATCCCCTCCAGCAACGACCAACTGCGTCATGGAGCCAGTATGGACGAGGTAGTGGGTAATAGACAGGTAAGCACCTAGTCAACATGCACATCAAGCGCAGCCACACCGGGGATGTCAAGCAACAGCCAATCACTTGAAGTAAAATATATCGATTAAAACATTGGATATGCCAACATAACTCATCGTCAAATAAGCATATGAAATAAATTGGTTATCAACAAATCCACGATAAGTTCGAGATGTCATAAAAAGAGATCAAAAATACAACAAAAGCGAACAAAGTAATGAAGTTACCCACCATAAGTTTAAGCGATGTGTGCAAGTAAATAAATTATTTAGGTAGACACTAAAATAAGGTAACGAAATAAGCATTAAGATACTAGAGCAAATCAACCACCTGAAATAGACTAGGCACGCAAGCATGCAGTTAGAAAAGCGAGTGGAAGCGCATGCAGCGTACCTACCAACGCTGCGCCGGTTCTGCCTAGTTTCTCTGCAGGACTCGTCGTCGTTTGTACGGTGGCCCCGAGTGGCCTCGCTAATGGCTCACTAGGCCTGCCTGACTCAGGCACTCGCGACCGCACGTGCCACAGCACCATGTGCTCGAGCTCGATGGAGTACACAACATCGGCGCCCGTCGCTTCCACAACTGCCGCCCCTTCGCCGCATGGACGAAGGCTTTCTCCTCCATCTCAGCAACTGCCTTCGTGATCAAATCGCGCACGTACGCCGAACAACCGCCTCTGACTTCCAACAATATATATATATATATATATATATATATATATATATATATATATATATATATATATATATATATATATATATATATAGACAATAATATTAAATGTGAAGAGATGGATACATGGAATACTTAAGGGCCAGAACTAAGGGAACGTTACTTGGAGCGCGACTGCGCCGTATCCAACGAAGTGTCTAATCACTGACGTGACCAGGCCCAAAGAAATCATCCTTCTTCTTTCTGCTTCTTTGCTGAGTCACTGACCATTTAGGGAGTTCCATCTAACTATGTGAAGTATTGGTAAACAATACTTTCGACACAGCACCCGCAGAAGCGTGACTTGGCGGCTACCGGCCAAGGGCCAGTCATGGACGCAAATCGATCATATCGCGATCAGTTACCGCTGGAGAGGTTGTGTCCAAAACTGTCGCTTGATTTGGAGCACGAGCGTAGACTCTGGCCACGCACTTGTCTGCGCCGACCGCCGGGTGCGTTTCCGTGGACGTCCGCAACATCAATGTGAACGGAATGCCACCAGTCAGTTGACGAAGCTAGGTGTTCTGAATGTGTATCCAAACGCGCTGAGTAAGCGTCCACTGAACACCGTCGCAGTTCACTGGTCACATATTCGTCAAACGTTACTATCAGCAGCCATGTCTTCATGTGGCAAATCAAATTGCCAAACTGGACAATGGGTCTCCACATAGTCTCTGGAATTTATGGATGCTTGCCGACGTATTTCGGCTGGAAGCGAATAGAATGAGGCTCACAAAAATCTCAGGGCAAGATTACGTGCTAGCCAGAAGAAAGACCGCGAAGTCTGGTGGGGTCTCATTGTGCCTCTGAGATGGAAACAGCCGCTACCGTTGGTAATCATCGTAAGTTATTCCGTCTGATAAGGGTAACAGGCAGCAGGAGATCTGGTGTTAGCGAGACCACATGCGACGAGAGTGGGCAGCCGATCCACAGCTTATCAAAACGGTTGGAGCGTTGAGCTGAACACTACAAGGCAATTTTACGAACTTGAGTTATCGCTTTCTTTTTCGGGCATTTAGCGTCCTTATCCCTGGGTCGTCTTCTTGGATGCACCCTCACGCGCAGAAGTCGAACGTGAAATCAGGCCGTTAAAATTGCATAAAGTCGCAGGGGCAGATAGAATGCCCTCAGCCCTCTTCAAATTCGGGGGACTTGCTCTAATAGATTATTTATACGAGTTGCTAATGAAACTTTGGGAGCAGGAGACTGTCCCGACAGACTAGAGCCGCTCCGTCATTGTCCTAATTTTCAAGGGAGGCTCCCGTTCGGAATGCGGCAATCATAGAGGGATCAGTCTGATCTCAATTGCCTCTAAATTGCTTGCGTCTGCCATTCTGCACAGACTGACTGGCACTCGTGAAAGCCAGATTCGTGAAGAGCAAGCCGGGTTTCGTTGAGGTTGGGGGTGCATCGACCACATCTTCACCTTGCGTCAATTGTTGGAGCACCGCCATGTTTATTGGCGACCCATCGTTGTCGTGTTTCACGACATAAAAGGTGGCTTCGACTCAGTCGATCGATGTGCGCTTTGGGACTGTCTGCTGAGGAAAGGTATGCCTGATAAATATGTGAACATTATCAAAGCGCTGTATGCGCACAGTCCGGGCAGAGTTAGGGTTTATGGCAAACTGTCGCCACCCTTTAGTATCACCAGCGATGTGAGACAAGGTTGCCCGCTGTCACCTTTCCTCTTCAACTTCGCTATTGATGAAGTCATGGAAACAGCGTTCGCTGGACACGACCTAGAAGATGTGGAGCTAATTGCTGGTGAGCGACTTCTTGATCTGGAGTACGCGGACGATATTGCCCTCATCATCATCAACAGCAGTACATCAGCCATTTGAACTGACGCTTCGCTGCCATACAACTATGAGGACCTACGAAATAAAGAATAAGAAGAGAGAGAGAAGGGGGACTTACCTGAAAACCTTAATGCCCTAAGCAAACATTCAGGGTCAAGGCGCCTACACCTTGTGTTAACAACATACCGTCACAAACAGCTGACTATCGTGCAAAGATAAGGCGGCATCGGCGAGACAGCTTCCTTGCGGCTTCCACTTCCACGCGTCATAATCAGCCATTACCACGCAGATAACGCAGTATCAAACACACTTTAAACAGACAATCCGATTAGAAGACGGCAGCAGACGCGCCACTGGTGTCAGTTGCGAGCCATGTCTTGTAAAGTCTCGAGCCAAGCACAAGGTGAGTCACGTGGACTCCAACCCGGAAGGCGAGACGGACCAACGGCACCCAGTTTGGTCGTCAGTGACTTCATTTCCCGCTGCCAAGTCAACTTCTGTCCGATATTGCCCTAATCTGTGACAGCTTCCAAACATGCCAGGCAGCACTGGACCGATTAGAACTGGCTGTCAATCGTTTTGGGCTATACTTTGCTCCATCGAAATGCAAAATACTTCTCCAATATTGGCAAGGACCCACCCTGGCGCTAACACTTTGTGGTGATCTGCTAGAAGTCGTTCAGGAATTCAAGTACCTGGGCAGCTAGATTAGCGCCCTTGGGATCAAAGATGAGATTACGAACCGTATAGCAAAAGCCTGAGGTGTTTTTGCCAATCTCCGTCACCTGTGGCGCAGACGCGACATTAACCTCGCCCTGAAGGGCAGAGTTTATAACGCAGCCGTCCGTTCAACTTTCTTATATGGTTTTGGAACCTGGCACATCAGGTCGACAGACAAAGAGGCTCGTCACATTCGATCATCGCTGTCTTCGCAGATTAGCTCATGTTTGGTAGGAGCACCGCGTGATCAATGAGCGTGTTCGGCGTCGCGTATTTGGTGCAGGAGGAGCGAGTGAACCGCTCAGCAACATTATATCACGCACTAGGCTCCGGTGACCTTGCCACGTGTTGCGCGTGCCAGCACACCGAGTTCCGCGCCGTGTAGTTTGCGCACCGGGGGTGCGGTTGGAAGAGGAGGCCAACCGATGACTTGGTCGAGAGAGATGAAAACCCTCACTTCGAAGTTGGCGTCGGTTGGTACATCCCGACTGCCTGGCTGGGGTCCTAAGGACGATGAACACGTTTGGTTGGACACACTTGCTGATATGGCTAGGAGACGGCCCCAGTGGCGTTTGTGTTGTGAGTTCCTTTGTCTACCTCCCTCCTGATTAGCCTCCCCCACCAAGCACGATCGCATTCGTTAGGCATAACATAACCTTTTGCGGCACGATAGCCGGCTGTTAGTTCTCCGGAACGATGTCCATCCGTTACTGGGGACTCAGCCGGCGTGCCACTGTGTATTTTTTTCTTGTCCTTTGTATTGCGGCACAATAGCTGAGGTGTTTTCCACCTGCAGCTAACGTGTATAATGAGGATGATGATAAGGGCAGATATAGCCAGCCAGATTGCAAGTATGCAGAGCGTGTGACCAAGACAGCGAAGAGTAGAGATCAACAGGCAATCTAAGGAGGCATCCGGAAGTCAGTTGTCAAACGGCATAGTTCTCTACTCAGCACTGGGCTTTCTCACTAGGTATCAGCCACACTTCGCAGATGTCAGTGATTAAAGACGATAGTTAGTTATCAGACCGCAGTGGTCAGGTCCCGGACCAACATGGTGACACTGGTCTACCGTGGCGCTGCAGACTCTCCCATTAACCCCTGACCTTGCATCTAAACAACGCCATAAGTGAACGGAACTTCGAAAGGCCACACGAACCTTAACAATGTGTACAGTAACCTGTCTGGTGATACGACTTCCAGAGCTGTACAGACAAACCGATCGAGCATTTCGGTGAGAATGCGGAGTGGTAGTGAATCAGCCTAGTCCTCCAACAAGGCTTTGCGCCTCCAGAGTGCAAAGCGCATGTCAAAGGGTGCAGCGAAATAATACGCTTATGATAGTCTGGAAGATATAAACAGTGAAACAGTGGCATACAGATGTGAAGCAGAAACACGAAACTGATCCGTCGGATGTGGTAGGAAGACTACCTACTTCGATTATTGTACCCTTTGTAACAACACCAAGATTCGTATACATTGGTGAGCTTGGATTCTTTTTCACGCCAATTATTGGAAGTTGAAATGTAGCCTTTAGCTCCGGATGAGTAACGTTAGCCTTGCGAACGCGCAATCCCATTGGTCTGATAAATCGCTCAAACTTGGGTGGTTTCCGGGTGAAGGTATCCCCAACAAAACACATTTTGGTCACCATTCGTTTCCAAGCTTTTCGTCTTGATTTTCCCGTTCGTACAACTTTGAATGCTTCCGATTCTGCAATACTGCGAACTTTCGGTAGCGGAACTTCCCATTTTCCCTAAAACAAGCAGACATGAAAGTATATGAATGACATTTAGGTGGGTGAATGAAGAGACCAACTGCAATTAGTGGCATACTGTGGCCTCACATTTAAAACAAATCGACTTTAAATGAAAACTTTGAGGTTTGGAAGATTTTAAAATCGGTTTTGTAAGAGTTTGTAAAGCTTTGGCGAATGTTGTGACAGTAACCTGGGGTGAATGCGAATAGGCTTCGTGCATCCGTAACTTCGGAACTCATCAAAAGTGATTACCGTTGTCTGGTACACTTCAAAAACTTTACCTAAAATTTATCATATTCCAAATGGCTTAGGTGACTGAAACATACAATTAGGTTTCTTCTACTAACGGCCCACATAAATGATGACTTAGTGTCAGTCATTGTGCAACAGATCTGGGTCTATATTTTGATATGCACATTCGGTAACAGGTAAACATCATAAACAAAAGACAGCTATGCGTAGATAATCAGCTGAGACGAGAAACCATCCTTGGGACGGAACATTAAATTTGGGTTTGCTTACTCCTTACAACAGGGGACGCTAACTCTAGCACCGCATGACCATGATGAATGATCGATTTCGCAATACTAAAGTGACAGTTGTGAAAAGTACGCGTTATCCCTCTGTAATAGAAGAGGGCTAATAATAAACGGCTGTCTCTTGAAACTAAGTACGGCTTGAAAATATCTATCTATATCTATCAAGTAACACACATGGTAACCGAAAGTTACCTTGAGTATTGTTAGTATCAGTTGGGCTCCCTCGTTAAAAAGTAGCAACGATAATGTTTGACAGAATGAATCAACAAGATGGAAGAGAGAACTTACAGCCTTCTCTGAACGTTTCTGTTTGACAGTATTTGACAACACCTTGGCAGAAACCTGCTCGTCACGATCCAGGAGGTAGGCTGGTTTCTCACCAAAGCCTCCTGCATCACCTGATTTCTGATTGATCTTCTTTAGTTCATGCATGCGTAAACTTTAGTACCCATTCGAATAAGAAGAGCTTGCACTTACGTCTTTTTCATGCGAATCTTCTCTTTGAACCTTTCCTTGTTCGCCAGTTTGGCCTTTATTCCGCGGAGCTTCATCGCTTTGGCACTACGCTCGTGCGGCTCTCGAGCTTCCCGCTTCCGCCTGAGAGAAACCGAGCTAATTAGGTGAAACATTTACCTTCGCTCGAAATAGTCGAACCTATAACCATGCCGCTTCCTGTGTAATTCAATATGCTCATTCTGCGGCTGCGAGGAAACAAAATGGTATCGAACCAGAAGAAACATCTTACCATATTATACAAGTAGAACTGATGCTATTAACCTAAAAACAAAAAGTGAAAAAGTATTAAACTGAAGACAATGTGGGTGAGCCACAAATACTGACAAAACAAAAATGCGACAAAGGAGCACGGTGAGAATATGGCCCATTGAGAAAAATAATATACAGGTGTATCATCCCAAAGATAGTGGTTCGGTGAGAGCAATCAAGGTATATTAAGTTAAAGAGAAACTTTAATTCGGCCGAGGGATTCTGATTGTATGAGAGCATGGTGCAATAAATAGATTGTAGGAAACCACGAACACAACAAAATTGGAGAAGCTAATTAATATTAATAAACACAACTCAATCGATTCAACTTCATAGTCCGACTTGCCGTTGATTCCTCAGATTCGCATTTTGATCTCTCCGTAACAAAACGCAAATGCAGGAATCGATTATGTGGCTCCGCAATGTGCTTCCTGACTGTATAGCTCAGTGGAAAAGGTCTGTGAGGGTATTCGGTACTTTTCGAATCAAAGCATGGAAAACGATGATGATAACTGGCAGTGTCTGATTGCCACCCTATCTTAGTCCATCGAGTGTGCCGATTTTTTGGTCTCAAGCCGTTCACAGATAGTAGTTTATGTCAATGATCTGGAGAAAATAAAAGATTGAAGCGCAAAGCAATGATAGAAATTTAAAAGTAGAGAAGATTCGGCCACAGGAAACCCATGAAGGTATGGTGATATATATATATATATATATATATATATATATATATATATATATATATATAATCAGTCTGTTACAGATATTGTGCCATCTAAATCACGCGGATTAAGGAAAAAACATGCAAACTTTTTGTCTAGTTTTCCACACACAATTTTTGAGTTTTTTAATTGTTTATCTTAATAGCCAAGGACAAATAATCAGCGCAACCGGCATAGATATACATTCGTGACGTCCGTGACGTCGGACTTGAGTCTTGACTTCTAGGGTTGTTAAATAGCGACACTCCTTATCTTCGGGACCCCAAAGAGAGAGCCGAGAACAACCGATTGAGGCCGACCACTTTGTCAGCTTTCTCATGCTGCTTCTCCAAGCTGCAGGCTGTCCACTGCACCGTCGCTTTCAGCCTTTCCCAGAAACCGCAAACGATGTATGACGCAGAAGATGCTGAGCCAGCATGCGCAATATGTGTCCAAGCTAACGCTGCTGACGTAGCGGGATGAGCTCCTCGAGCGAGTGGCTGCCTCCCAACAACACACGCTAACTTACACATTGGTTATGTGATGCAGCCACCACACATGGGCAATGGACCACAAGCAACCGTGTTCGAAGACGGACAGCCGGCGCACGTAAACGGTACGAACAGGCCAAGTCTCGCAAACGTGCAACAGTAAAGCGTGGATAGTCGCACAATAGACCCGTCCTTTGATGGACAGACGGATGTCATGACGACGCCACAAATGCCGCGGCTTAGAGAAAGTAGGACAAGCTCTTGAGATAGGAAACAAAATCTCGTCTACAACAGCTCCACCGGCAGTGATGCAGCTGCTTAGGCAGACGAAACTCTCCATAACCTCCTGTGTCTTATCACTAAGAGTGAGTGCAGGTACATGCATGTCAGTCTCGAAAAACGGCTTTGCACTTGGATGGGTAAAAAGCCATCCCATACTTTGACGCTTTATTCTCTAAGCGGTTAAGTGCAAGCTGGACGGCCTGTGGACCCTCACCCAGCAAAACGATATCATCAGCGTGGTCAAAACCAACAACTCGACTACCTGGCAGGAGCTCAACGCCAGCGTTTAACCAGTCGTTCAGAGCAATGTTGAGAAGATCCTCAATGGTAAAACTGAAAAGGAATGGGGAGATAGGGCATGCCTGTCTAACTCCACTGGTGACAGCAAAGGAAAGTGAAAGCATGCCATGAGCCCTAACTCTACCCGAGGTCAGAATGTACATAGCACGCAGTACGGAAACGAAATTCCCGGGGAGGCCATTCTTCTACAGACTGCCACAATGCAGTCTTATCGATAGAATCGAAGTCAGCACGGATATCCAGGAACAGAACAATTGTTGGCTCTTGGTTACATGGCGGAGTTCGATGATCTGGCAGAGTGTGAAAATGCGATCGATGCAGTTGCGGCCAGAATGGAACCCAGCCAGTTCTTCCCGCTGTAGTGATCTGCGAGTAAGGTATAGCCTTCGAAGTATGACGGACACCATAACCCTACTAACAACAGGATCCAAGCTGAGACATCTGTAGTTGGAGCACCTTGTGCGCAGGACCTTTATAGAGATGACGACTATCGACTCACCCCAAGATAATGGAATCTACTCTTTCAACCAGACTCAGGAGAGCAAAGCAATGATTTTTCGAACAGCGAATAGCCATTATCTTTAAATAGGGCGGGAAGTAAGCCATCGGGACCGGGTGCTTTACAGCGCTGCAAGAAGCGGAGTCCATTGCAGATTTCTTAGTAAAAGGGAGAATCTGTGGGGATAGACCACTCAGCACCAGTGAGCGCGCCGGGGGAAGTAGATGCAGCTGGCGACCAGCAAAAGTGCGAGCTAAAATGTTCAACCCATCGTTCCAACCGTCGCTGAAGATTAGTGGGCCATCTCCTTCGCAGATTGTTTCAGTTACATCAGATCGGAAACCATGGGTGGCTCGAGTAAGATGAAGTTTTATGGTACTACCAGAAAGAGTAGAGTTTTGTCTCTAGCGCGTTCACACTACCAGTTTTCAGGGTCCTTTTGTAAACTCCTGCCCAATTCTCAATCTAGGGGTCTACGTTCTTCAGCTAACATCGGCCGGGACCGAGTGACGTCTGTTCATCAGGGACAAGGAGAAAGCAGTGACAAAACATTTCGGCGGGTGGCGGGCAACTCCACAACTGTCAATGTTAGCAGAAACCAAATCATTTTGGTGCGCCTCTATTGTGAATTCAGATCGTCGTCAGAAGCTGAGGCAAATAAAGTTGATGGAGGCTTGGTATTGTGCAAGCATCGTAGGGTATTGTAGCTTTTCTACGCCCGCTCGGTAGTGCGTATGCTTAGGACATTCGCCGAAACGCATGCATAGCTTAGCACGAACAAATGCGTGATCAGTCCAGACGAGCTTATCAGTACGATCGGCAGTCTGTTACGTTTCCGCGCCATCTGTAAATAATAATAATAATAATAACAATAGGTATATTTCCCATCGAGCGAGAAACTGTGGTCAAGCTGGGACCACCCTTATGTTTGAGAAGGCAGGCGTCAGGTAGTAATATTTCTCTTCGAGTGCCGAAAACCGATGCTCGAAAGAAAGAATCAGTAGTCTGCGTCCATTGTCTGACCATCATCATCATCATCATCATTATACATGTCAGCTAGAGGTGGTAAAACACCTCCGCTATTGTACCGCAATACATAAAGGGAATACATACATACATACAATACATAAAGGAAAAATAAATACGACAGTTGCATGCCAGCGGAGCTACCAGCAACGGATAGGCATCGTTCCGGTAAGCTACCAGCCGGCTACTAGGCAAAAAACAACAGTTTAATTACGTTTTACCCTACGAAATAAGATCGTAGATGGAGGGGGAGGCTAAAGGGATGGGGAGGGACAAAGAAACTCACAACAGGAACGCCACTGAGGTCGGCTCCTTGCCATGTCAGCAAGTGTATCCAGTCAAACGTGTTCACCGTCTTATGGACCCCAACCAGGGAGCCGTGAAGCTCCAATCGAGGCTGTTACCGAGGTCAAAACTACCATAAGATGGTGATCGCTTGGTGGCAGGCGGTCCACAAGGGTGTCAAAATCTCCGGAAACAATGAAGATACCACTTTGTGGAGGAACGCAGGTTATGTAGTTGTTGGTATAAGCACTTCTTGAATGCATCCGGGCCGCAGTCTGTAGGAGCGTAGGTCAAGCCGATAAATAAGGCACGTCTAACATCTTGACGCTTACATAAATTACATGAAACATGCCTATAGGCGACCTCAGAAACAAAAAGTAGCGAACAAGCTTGTTTTCAGGGTCTCGTCATCTGGTTAATACAACCAATAAAAAGCACGCTAGTATAGGCACAAGAGGTTTAAACGCGGTAAGTTAGTGAAGCAAAGTAGCTGATCGATAAGGCCACGTGATTGGTCCGGCTGATGTGAAGTCAGACGGAGTGGCGTGACTGCCACTGTTAAACACGTTGGCCTGAGACCAGGGTACGTAGAGTTTGGACGAGGTTTTTCTGCGCACAAAGGTCCGGTTAATGGAGGCGAATCGCGATCGCCTTTGATGTCGACAACAGGCGGCATCTGACCGCTCGTGTGTGACGTCTGAGTACACAGTAGAGTTGTACGAATGCGTCATGCGAATTTATTTGGTGATTGGGGTCTACTAAGTGCGACAACACTACGCTCGCTACATTCTTTCTCACAACGCTGTAGAGCTAAGCTAAGCAATGCTTACGAGCTCTACCGGACAGTCGCCCGGTCCTTTTCCCAATATACCTTGCCCAACACGAGCAAGAGAAATTGTACACACAGAAAGAAATCTGCGACCGAGGTATCCTATCCTTGAGTTGAGGTGAAAATGATGCGTAGATCGGCAGCGAAATACGTTCTCGCTGTTGTTTTGGATAGTGTTCGGTTTTACCGTTCCACTATCCGTCATCTTAAAACGGTAATAATAAGTATAGTAACCGTTTCTCCAAAGAAACGGTTTTTAGCTTTGGCACTCGTGGTTTCATGTGCTTCTGGATGAATTTTTCGGGGTGTCCATCACTCTCAAAGACGCTTCAGATAAAGCTTAGCTCATCTGAAAGCGTATCTTCTGTACATATCATCCTCGCTCTCTCCATTAGGCAACGGACAAGACCTTGTTTCTGACTTATCGGAATACAGCTAGTAAAGTGTATATATTGCCCGTTCCAAGTTTCCTTTCCGTGTACCCTCCTCCGCATTGATCCATTTGATACCCTATCGATCTGGGCATCTAAAAATGCCAAGTAGTCGTCACGTTCTAGCCCGATAGTGAAATTTATGTTACTATGTGCGGAGTTGTAGTGCGTCAATATATCAGTGGCGCACAGTCTATTATCCGCGACACAAAATATGTCGTACACATATCGACCGTAATATACTGAGATGCTTATGAATTCGTTCGGTTGAATGTTCTCCAATTTGCTCATGAAGACATCCGCGAGCAAAGGTCCTAGCGGTGAACCCATGGCCACATCGTCTTTGTCAATATAGCGCTCTGTTACCCTGAAACCGAATGCTTCTCATACACAACAGCAGCAGTTATCTCAATCGGTTTGGTGGGATACTGACGTCGATTTTGCGTAACTGGATGAACTCGCATATATAGTCTATAGTCTCCTCCAATGGAACATTGGTGAAAAGATACACCAGATCTAATGAGAACATCCTTCGGCCGGCTAGTTCAAGTTGCCTCACTGAGTCAAGAAAATCTAAGGTGTCCTTGAGACTGTAGCTGGCTATGAATTTTCGGGCTGGTTCCAGAAGAGCGACTGAGCCAGTTAGCGGTTGAATGATACGGCGAGCTACACATACCTAGTATCAGCCTTAGCGGTAGCCCTTCCTTATATACTTTAGGCAGACCATAAAGTCTTTGAACCACTGTTACACTCGGTCTGGTGTATTCGAATATATCAGGGTAGATTACATTCGCTTGCTTTAGGTAACGGAGAAGTTTCATTATGAATCTCTCGACTGCCTGTGTCTTGTTATTCTCGATATACATTTGTCGAAACTCCGACCCGTTTTAAAGAATGGCACACATCATGTTGACGTAGTCTGATCTATCCATCAAAATGATCCCAGTTCCTTTAACCTGTCTAGATAATAGTACATTTACGTTTCGCCTGTTTCTTAAAGGCGTCCAGATGTTCCTGCTTCAGTAGATGCTTGACACGTGGTTTATCACTTAGGTAATCGTAACATGCGTTAACCAGTGTTGACTTTTACTGCTCAGCTGCTAAGGCAGATGACGGCGTAAGCGCAGCTAGACGGGAATTAAAATTCTCAGATTGAACCACTAAAGTTAGTTGTTTATCATAGTTCCGTAGACAACAGAATTTCGGGCCGCGAAAGAGCCCCTAGTAAAATACTGTCTAATCGCAATGAATGTATAGATTAGGATCAGATGGAAATAATTTCCGTGGCTTACTCACATTGGTCTGGCATACATATCGACTTCGCGGATCCAATCAACGGTTGCTCCTACCTGTTCCTTATTGATGCCTACTCCAAATGGCCCATGAATCTTACGACCACTACCGCCACGCTGGCTTGTCTTCTGCGAATCTCCAGCCAATACGGACTCCAGAGGTCCTTGTGTCCGAAAACAGCTCTCAATTCACGTCCTCGCTTTTAGAGTTCTGACACAATTACGGGATCAGCCACCTCTGTGCACCGCTCTATCACTCCCAGTCCAAGCGGGATGATTCGGACACTTTCAAGAGAGAACTCATAAAGTCACAGGGGAAGGAGACAGTGGATGCAAGTATCCAGGCATTTCTATTCGCTTGCAGGACCACATGGAATCGGGCGTCTCCTGGTGACCAATCACCTGCCGAAAGTTTGATGGACCGAAAGCTACACACCCACCACGAATAGGTAGTCCCAACAGAGGAACCTCCAGTATGACCTGCAGTTTCCAACAACTACAAACGTTTCTCTGTTGGACGCACATGACTACCGAGCAGATCTCTAGGACTGGGCCGAAGCGACAACTACATACCACCATGGCGTTAAATTATATGACGTCCCGTGTCTGATGGCACATGGGTTGGTCATCGTAACCAAATGTGACCGAGACTCCAAAACGATGGTTATAGAAAACCACTTGTGCGGGCAGTTGCCATCACACATATTGACAGACACATTCGTGATCGCGGAGAAGAAACCGGCACCAGAAACACTTACCAAACCAACTCGGAAACCCGACTGTTCCCGCTGTTCAAACAGGACGAATTCGCGGAGGATCAACAACTCGGCAGGTAAACTCTCATTAAAAACAGTAACAACAATCTTCAACAAGAGATGCTACATGGCTGGCACAGCCCCGCCACGAACCTCAATAAAAGCAGTACATCAGCCATTTGAACTGATGATTCGCTGCCATACAACCATGAGGACCTACGAAATAAAGAATAATAAGAGGGAGAGAAGGGGGACTTACTGGAAAAGCTTAATGCCCTAAGAAAAGATTCAGGGTCAAGGCGCCTACACCTTGTGTAGACAACACACCGTCACAAACAGCTGGCTAGCATGCAAAGATAAGGCGGCATAAGAGAGAGAGACAGCTTCCTTGCGGCTTTCACTGCCACGCGTCATAATCAGCCATTATCCCGCAGATAACTAGGCACCAAACACACTTTAAACAGGCAATCCGATTAGGAGACGGTAGCAGACGCGCCACTGGTGTCGGCTGCGAGCCATGTCCTGTAAAGTCTCGAGCCAAACACAAGGCGAGTCACGTGGACTCCATCCAGGAATACGATACGGACTAACGGCACCCAGTTTGGTCGTCAGAAACTTCATTTCCCGCTACCAAGTCAACTTCTGTCCACGTCGAGCTTGGGGCTACCCTACACATGGTAGACTAAACAAGGCCCTCCTAAGTAAGCACTGACCATGCATACGTAGCACGTGTCCAAGCCAACGCAACTTATTCAGTGCTATCTATTGTTCTAGGGAGTTATCATGATCATCACTACCTAGTACTCGCCTAAGCAAATCATCGTTGCGGACACACTGGTGTTGTCCGACACCAACAACGCTCGACAGACAACGATGATCAAAAACTTGAAGGCGTCTCAGATCTTCAGACCGAAGGAGCTAAGTTTCACTACCATAGAGCAGGACGGCCCTCCCTGTGGCTTTGTATACGCGGCCTTTCAGATGAGGGGGGGAACCGTTCTGTCGCCATAGATGCCGCAGGTTCAAGAAGGCAGCTCCGCCCATTGTAATGCATAAACTGAGGTCAGTTTCTATGCGCCCATCGTTGCTGATGCAGCTGCTATGGTAAGTGAATTGATCAGCCACTGCGAGTTCCTCGTTAGCAAGGGTCAATAGGTCATCAAGTGGCTGGTGGTCCTACAGCAACACTTACCATTTTGAAGGTGCGAAACGTATACCAAATAATGGGACCACTCTAGACAGGCTATTCAGGGTTGATTGTGCAGCCGCAACACCGTCCAAAAGCAAGACGATATCGTCCGCATAATCAAGATCAACTAGCCTCTCATCCGACATGACTTCAAAGTTTACATAGTAAGATTCCGCAAGGGAAAACTCCATGATAGAGTTCATAAGAAAATTGAACAAAAACGGAGAAACCTGACAACCATGAAAAACGCCACCTGTGGTTGGAAAGCTATCCGATAGGCTACTGTAGGCTCGGACGAGGCCTGTAGTGTTTGAGTATAGAGAAGTTAGTATGCTCACATATTTAGTGGGAACAAGTCCCAGCGCAAGTATTTCGAACAGAATCAATCGATCGACTGAATGGAACACACTCTTGAAATCGAGGAAGACAGCTATTGTTGGTTTGCGGTATCACCATCATCATCATCATTATACACGTCAGCTAGAGGTGGGAAACACCTCAGCTACTGTGCCGCAATACATAAATGAAAAAGGAAAATAACTACAAAAGTTGCATGCCAGCTGAGCTACCAGCAACGGATGGGCATCATTCCGGTAAGCTACAAGCTGGCTACTAGGCAACAAGAAAAAATTATTATGTAAAATTATAATACGCTACGAAATGAGATCGTGGTTGGAGGGGAGGCTAAAGGGATTGGGAGCGACAAAGAAATTCACAACAGGATCGCCGCTGAGGTCGGCTCTTAGCCATATCAACAAGTGCATTCAGCCAAACTTGTTCATGGTCTTCTGGTCCCCAACCAGGGAGCCGTGACGCTCCAACCGAAGCCAGCTCCGAAGTAAGGGCCTTCATTCCTCCTGACCAAGTCATCGCTTGGCCACCCCTCCTCTTCTTCCATCCACACCCCCCGGCGCGCAAACAACACACGTCGCGGAAGTCGATGGGCTGGCATGCGTAACACGT